TTCAGTAATACCCATTGCCTTGAATCTGAAATTGGAAATACTCATTATTGGACAGGCTTTTAAATGGAATGTGGTATCTGAAGATTAAGCCAGAAAATTGTGAAACTAAAGTAGAGCTCAAGTAAGCCAACAGAAGCTCTTGGGAAGATGACCCAGAACCATAAACATTTCTACCTGGCAGAGAGGATTAGAGAAGGTGAATGAAAGACTTTGTACCATGAAATAACCTGGACTTTTCCAATCCAGCATAGTAATCAGATTGTAAAAAAGCAGTCACAACCAAGGGATTACCTTGAGAAAGACTTTGAAGAAAAAGAGATTGACCTTTGCTATCTGGTATATCACAGAATACTTTGTAGGCAGGACTAAATGCAGGTTTTGAAATTGAGAAGGTTTATGTGTGAATTGTGTGCTGGGTGGTTTCAACAGTTAGAGTAGCTGAAATGTAAATATTTTCTTAAACATACTAAAAACCATACTGTCTTTGTAGTAATAGTCACAAGCACAATTATAACAAATATTTTAACACTTTCTTTAAAATTCAGGGTTTTTTAATTTTGAAAGTTGCTTATTATTAATTGTCAAGAACTATGAAGTATGGGCAAATATTTTTGATATGTCAAGTAAATGTGTGAAAATGTAAAAATAAATAAGTAAATTATTTTTAAAAAGAAAAGAGAAAAATAACTAGATAGAGAGCAAAATAAGTAGATGAGCATTGCCTTACTAGATAAGTTTATGACCTGGAAGTTACGTGGTCCAGGCTGGATCTTCACAGCAGTGATGAAGGAGGCAGAAAAGGGTATGAGAGATAGAGCTGGAGATGCCAAAATAATTCTTTTCTAAATGAGAAAAGAAGAGAGAAATTAGCAGGAGAAAGACAAAGGGGGAAAGTAAACTTCTTAAAAATAAAAGAAAAATAACAGGATAGGGATAGATTTTTGCCTACCTTATTAAAGCCTACAGTCTGGAAGTGTAGTGGGCACAAACTGGAGGCTTCACAGGAGTAAACATGGACCCAGGAAAGGGCATGAAAACCAGAGATAGAGATGCCTACAACAATTCTGTCCTAATTGTGTGAGGAGAGACAAATTAGCACAGAAGGAAAGAAAGCTGTTTCTTATTTTTTAAAAAAAAGAAGTGAGAAAATATAGAAAATAACAGGATAGATAGGGATTTTTGCCTACTGTCTGGAAGTGGAGTTGTCCAGACTGCGAGCTTTACAGCAGTGAAGGTGGACCCAGGATAGAGCATGAGAATCAGAGATGGAGAGGCCTACCACTATTCTTTCCTAATTGTGTGAAGGAGAGACAAATTACCACAAAAGGAAAGAAAGCTGTTTTTTATTTAAAAAAAAAAAAAAAAGAAGTGAGAATACATAGAAAATAACAGGATAGATAGGGATTTTTGCCTACTGTCTGGAAATGGGGGGTGTCTAGGCTGAGGGCTTCATAGCAGTAAAGGTGGACCAAGAAAGGACAGTGGAGGCAAAGATGAAGAAGCCTTCATCCCTTCCATCCTTACTAATGCCTACAGTCTGTAAATGGGGGCTGTCCAGGCTGGGAACGGTTTTACAGCAGTAAAGGTGGACCCAGAGGAATGGGCAGGAGAAGCAGAGACAGCAATGCCTGAAACTATTGTTTTTAATATCACCTATGGTCTGGAAATTGAATTTTTTAATTAAAAAAATGTGAAAAATATCTCTTTTAATTTGATTTCCATTACATTAAATTTGTTGATTAATTTGGAAAGAATTAGCAGTTTGTTCAGTTCAGGAACATGGGATAGCTCTCCTTCATTTGTGCCATTTTCCATTTCTTTCTTTACTTTTTTTTTCTTTTGGAGAAGTTTTTGGTATAGGGCATGTGCAGTCACCAGACAGAGAGAGATAGAGAGTTAGAAAGTTAGAAATCACCCCCCAGAGAGGATGACCACGCCACAATCCCTTCTCCTCCATTCTCCTCTCGGGATCTTGGGCACGCACGCACACATGCTCGGTGTAAGTTTAAGCCACTGGGTCTGGGACTCGAACCATGGTTGACTACGTGGGAGTCCAGTGACATAGTCATTACACTAACTGCTGGTCCCTTTCTTTACTTTTTTCTACTTTTCCTTGTAGAGATCTTGGACTTCTTTGGTTAGATTATTTCTGGACATTTTATTTATTTATTTATTTTTTTTGTGACTCTCAGAAACAGAATTACTTTATTCTTCAATTCTATGTCAGTCTGTTTACTGTAGGCATATAGAAACACTATAGCTTATTGTATGTTGATTTTGTACTCTGACTCTACTGTATTCATTTAGTACTTTTTAGGAGTTTTTGCATATTTTGGGGAGATTTTTTGTGTATACGATAACATCATCTGCAAATAGGAATAATTCCAGTTCTTTCTCTATTTGAATGACTTTTATTTTAGTTTCTGGTCTGAGTGTATTGGATAGAACTTCCAGCACTATATAGAAAAAGAGTGAAGACAGTGAGTAGCTCTGTCTTATTCCAAGGTTTACCTCTATCTTCAGTATGATTTGTGCTTTCACACACATCCCATACACACACACACACACACACACACACACACACACGCACTCACTCACATATATGATGCAGTCTTGGAGATATACACACACACACACACACACACACACACACATAAATAAATACAGGCTATATAGTTTAGCTTTCATGTATGTAGCTTCTATGTTGAGAAATGTCCCTTGTTGAGAATCTTAATCATAAAGGGATGTTATATTTTATCACTTTCTCCTTTTTTTGATATGGTCATATGGTTCTTATCTTTATTTCTGTTAATATTATGTATTGTATTCATGTTTTTGTGCATACTGAGCCATTCTTGCATCTCTGAAATAATGCCTACCTAGTCATGGTGTATAATTTTTATGTACTCTTATGGATACATTCTGCTAGTATTTTGTTGAAGAATTTTTCCATCTGTATTCCTCAGAAATATTGGCCTGTAGTTTTCCTTTTTTGCCATGTCTTCATCTCTTTTGGTGATGATGGTGATGGAGGGTTCATAAAATGAATCTGAGAGTGTTATTTCATTTTTGGATCTTTACAAATATTTTGAGTAGAATGGGGGTTATTTCCTCTTTAAAATCTTTGTAGAATTCAGAAGTGAAACCATTAGGATCTGGGGTTTTATTTGTTGGGAGGTTATTTATCACTTAGTAAATTCTATTGTTTGTGGTTTTCTCTGTTTATTTGTGTCTTCCTGATGCAGTCTTAGTAGCTAATATGTGTCTAAAGATTTGTTCATCTCATTTAGGTATTCTTTTTGGTTGATGTATAATTGCTCATAGCATTCTCCAATTATCTTTTGTAATTCTGTTATTTTATTGTAATATCACCTGTCTCATTGTGAATTTGATTTATCTGGTTCCTTTCTTGCGTCTTCAAAATCAATACATTACCATTTTTTAAAAATTTTCTCAAATAATCTCTTTGGGTTTCACTTACTTTGTATATAGTTCATTTTTTTTCTATTTCATTTATTTTTGCTCAAATCTTTATTACTTTTGTTTCTAGAACTTTATTTTCATCCAGTTCTTTGAGGTGTGCTGTTAGCTTGTCTAGTTGCTAACTTTCCATCTTTTTATTATATGCCTTAATTGCTATGAACCTTCCTCTTCTGACTGCTTTTGCTGTGTCCCATAGATTATGAAAACTCATGAACCTATTATCACTGGTTTCAATGAATCCTTTGATTTCAGTCTTAGTTTCCTCAGTAGTTGTAAAGACATTTAAGTAGGCATGAAGTAGTTGTTTAGTTTCTATACTTTTGTGTACTTATTAAGGATATTTCCTAAAGTAAATTTTCAGTTTAAATCCATCATGGTCAGAGAAGATGCTGGATGTAATTTCTATGCCTTTGAATTTGAAAAGGCTTATTTTGTGCCTGTCTTCTGCATGATCCAGTCCGTTATTAATACTTTTGAGGAAGTTCTTGATTTCCTGTACTACTGCCTTCATCTCTAGAAGTTCTGATTGGTTCTTTTTTATGGTGTCTATCTCATCTGGTCTTTCAAATCCTGGAAATATTCCCTCATCTTTTTCACCATGATATCCTTAACTGTATTTCTGACATGCTTGAAAATTCTTTTGTGCTCTCTATGATGGAAGAGTTACTCTGTTTCATTGAGAAAAAGTGTCTTCTTTTTAAAAATTTTATTTTAATTTTAACATTTTTTAAAATATATTCAATCACATTTTTTAGCTTACAAGGTGATCATTTCAATATGTGAACATTTCTCCCCCATCCAGTTGATGAAAATATACCACAGTTCTTGTGCCTCTGTGTGTTTTCTAGTCATCTTATGAATTAGATTCTTCCTGCTTTTCTGGTGCCAATTTTATAGTGTCACCAGGAGAAGATGAGCTCTACTTCTCAGACATGTCCTCAGTAAAGGGCCTTTTCTTCCAGTTAGTGAAGTGTGTACATAGCCAGCTTTAAATGCTGATTCTTTTCACTATCTCTTGAGACCAAGTGCCCCTGGGGCTGATTCTGGAGGTTTTCAACTAGAGGAAGGAGTAGGAGTCAGTAGATTCAGGAAACTATCAAGTCTCAAAGTTTCTGCCTCAGTTTGTCTTACTGAATGTGGTTGCTCCCTGTTTCACAACATAGGCTCAAGGGGCAACAGAAGTGAAGTGATATAGCAGGACCAACCTGGGATGTACCCGGTGCAGTTAGAAGGCAGTTGGATGTCTGATGGTCTCATACCTCAGTTGGACTCACTGACTGCCACTCCTGCCTGCTCTTCAGAGCAGACTATGGGGTAATCTGTTATTTAATTTTATTTTATTTGACCAGAGAGAGGCATTCCTATCACATCCTCACCTTCAGCTAGTCATCTGTCTCAAAATTTTCTTGTAAATGAGTGAACTCTAAATCACATAAATAAATATACTTAAGTGACCACTGAAGATAACATTAAGTGTAAAGTTAGTCCCTTCCCATTTGACACTTTGATAAGGATTTATACACACCTGGCAAGGGAGATACCATGATCATGAAGGTGGTTTTCTCAGGGCGAGGCTTATCTATTGTGCTCTGGATGGAGCTGGCCCCTATGATTTCCCCAAATGTGGGAAACTCAACTGCATAATTTTTGGTAGTGGGGGATTATGTATACACATTCCCCTGAAAAATAAAATTTAAGAAAAAGAATTTTATCCCAGAAATGTATTTCTTCAGTAGCCTCCTCCACTTACCACCTCTTATTTCAGTCCAATTGTAGGAAGTTGTGGTGATCATGTCCAACTCCAATGCTGATATCTGGACTGAAAGGTGACATGTTTTTGTCTCACGTTCATGAAAAGAAATGCAGACACAAGAAAGAACAGAAATTGAGGTTTATTGGGAGAGAGAGAGAGAGAGAGAGAGAGAGAGAGAGAGGGAGAGGAAAGAAGAGTTCCCAAGCAGTAGGGGTCTCAGCATAAATTGCCACACCATGGTCTAAATTTCTAGTTTATATCCTAGCTGAGAGACTCCTTGCATGCATTTTTCTTTGTGATAGGGGTCACATGCAGGCTGTTAATTTAGAAGAACTGTTATCTCAGCTAACTTTGAAGACTTTGAGACTGTTAATTTGGGATGCTGTTGCCCCAGAGCCTGGAAGTCTTATCTCCCTCAAAAAATATATATACATATATAAACACACACACACACACACACACATATGTATATATACATATATGTATAGAGATACTTCCTATGTTATCTTTGTGCTCCAGGCTCTGACATTAGGTCTCTGGGTTTTGTCTGATTCTCACAACAAAGAGTCCTAAATTATTTAGGAGAAAGATCCATATATCTGAGGTCAAAGAGACATAGTGACTCCATGGAGAATAAAGAGATATGGAAAAAGATAACATAACATGGCTACCCAGCATAGCAGACAGTGGCTTACCTCTCAGGGTCCCTGCCCTATCTACCTACTCACTGGATCCAATTTCTGTCTCAATTCAATTTCTCAAAAAAAAAAAAAAAAAAAAAGAAAAGAAAAGAAAAGAAAAAAAACCCAGTTGTCATTAGGGAAGATGGTCAAAGACCATTCTGGCTTCTTATTGCTAAGATGGAATGATAATGGCATGGCAGCCAAGGGTTTCTCTTCAGAGGTCTACCTAGGATCTCCTGGTAGGTGGTCCCAGATGATGCCATTGTAAAGGCTTGAAGGAGCATCTGGCTTATATAGGCATATAGGTAAGAAGAAAATAAAAGTAGTTAGCACATTTAAAATGCTACATTCAAAAAATCAAATGAGTAGAATTAGGAGTCAAATAATTCCAAGGGATTCTAAGGAAGACACCCAGTTATGACAACTCCAAGAGTGTCCTGGACAGATTTGTATAGTTACTTTGGAATTTGATCAATTCACAAAATAATTTTATTATAATTGTCATTAATGTTCAAACAATACATATCAGAAAACTCAGGGCAACCAACACAGTATTGAAGGCGAAGGTAACCTATCATGGCTTGACTTTCCAGTTTGGTAGTCATGAAAGTCTTTGAGTTCCCGATTAATAGCATTAAGACAAGGGCAGTAGCATTCAGGGCTTTTGAGAGGAGGCAGATGGCAGCATTCAATTAACTCTTCAATGTGGCAATTAGTTCTGGTAATCCAAACACAGTAAGGTCTGCTTATAGCCAGGGCCACTTCATTGTCCATGAGCCCTAAATGGTCATCACAGTGAGGAAAAACTAATCATTTGTGTCTGAGTAAAGGGAAGAAATGTTATATGGATAAGAAGAATGAAAGTTAAGAGTTTCCACAGGACACGGACTCTTAATGCCAGCAGGCAGTTCATAATAGGTAGTTTGGTTGTATAAGAATGACCATCCTTAAAGTATGTGAGATTGTGAAGGTGAAGACAGGTGAATATAGTAAAGAAAGGGTTTAGAGTGAGTGAACATGTGAAACAGTAAGTAGTAGAACTGATAGCCAAAATGTGGAGGGGTTTTAGGACTTTAGTTAGTGGTGTTATGGACTGAGGAAAAGAGGAATGGGTGTATCTCAGTTCCTTTTTCACTTGGACAGGAGAATATCCAAGTCCCATCAGATTAAGATGTAAAATACTTTAAATACTTACAGAATGTTTCATAAAAAAGGTGGTTTGATGATATATCTGGCAGGCCATGTGAACCCAAAATCTATTTTCACCTGACTTATGGGACAAGGATTTATTCTCATGCAGACACTGCATTTGGACACAAGTGAAGTTTCTTTTTATGACTTTAGAGCATATGTAAGAGTCACTGTCAGACCAAAGAGATACAATCATCTCAACAGACCAGCAATAGGGTTCCTCATTTGGAATGTGAGTGGTATTAAGTGAGGGAACCAAACAGTCCAGCCAGGACCACTGAGAAATGGCAGGCAAACTAGAGCACAAACAAAACAGGTACATTGATTGCACATGGTATGAATTCCATTAAGTCCTCTTGAAACCGTAATTCATGGAAGACTGATTAAATATTCCCTATTGAATAAAGAGAATATGAGAATGTGTACTCAGATAGATTGTCACAAAAAAGCAGAGAGAATTTCAGAAGTTTGGTACAGGAGAAGTGGACTTCTCTTTCTGATGACAGAAGAGAAGTTTGAGGATTGCCAGCAGTTCACAAGAATAGGTGGGATCTTCCAGAAGTGAGGGAAGGGTTGATGAGAATCTTTGAGACTTAGGTGACTCAGAGGACTTTGAGGTATTCAGATGTAAATGATGAATCAAAGGATTAATAAATAATTTTACTATAAAAGGGAAAGACCAGGAGGGCACTAGGTTAGAAGTCAAGGGAGGGAGAGACTTATGAGTGTGAGATTGCCAAGTTCAAAAAAAGGAGTTCTCCATGCAAGGGTTGAGAATTAGGCAGTTGCTGCAGAGTTTGTTGAAATTTTGCAAGAGTTTCTATCTGCTTGGTGAGTGAAGAGCCTTCCTCATCAAAAAGGAAAAAATTATTTGTCAAGAAAGGATGTCCAGGTAGTTTTTCATATGCACTAAGCCCTTGTTTGGAGGAGTTGTTTTCCTGTTATGGATTAATGCTATGGAAGAAGAGAGACACAGGAAAGATGGGATTTTAGTATTAATATTTTAAACTGTCTTTTTAGTATATCATTGTTTTTTTTCTAGCTTTCCTGACAATTGAGGTCTTCAGGTTCAGTGAAGATGGTAGTTAATTCCTAATGCCTTGGAAACTCTCTGGGTGACAGCAGCCTTAAAGGAGGGTCCATTATCACTTTGGAAACATTTATGCAATCCAAATTTCTCCAATTAAAGTTTTTGTTACCTCAGTGCTTTTCAGTTGTATATGGAAGAGCTTCTGCCCATACAGTTAATGTATGAACCCACACTAGAAGATATCGCTTACCTTGTGTCTTAGCTGTATGAGTAAACACAGTCTCCCCCTGTGTAGCACCCTACTCATTGAAGCCAGGGAAGAGCAATTTGCCTACTGAGAGGGTTGGCTTTTAAACAAATTTCACAGGTATCCACAATTTGTTCAATTGTTTGTGCCAGGTGATGACACTTGGATAAACATCGAGTCCATTGTAAGGTTTTTCCTTGGCCTAAGTAAAGACCCTAATGAAGAATTTTCAGTCTTTTCCACTGGCTTGAAATTGGAAAGAATATTTGACCTCCTCCTTGTAACCATCCCGAGAGCTAAAAAGAATATCCTTTTGAAATAGCTTCCTGTATGTCTGTCTGAGAGTACAGAGGCCTCATATGTTTAAGGAATCATTCAAAACCAGAGGCATGATGGTAGATCCATAGAGGAGCCATGGTCTCTGGCTGATGCCTTGACAGTTTGGTCAGACAAGTTATTTCCATAAGCTATGTCATCTTTACCCCTTTGGTGGCTACTCCAAGTGTATTACTGCCACCCTTTGGGGAAACATAACGGCTGTTAGTAGTTTTTCTATTTCTTATTAGTATTCGATGGGTGTCGCATTAGCAATCAAGAAGCATCTTTCTCTCCAGACATTGGCATGTGCATGGGAAATCAAAAGGGCATATTTAGTCAGTATATATGTTGGCTCTTTTTCCTTGACTTAATGCCAGAGGTGGAATGAGAGCTTATAGTTCTGCCAACAGAGGACTGATATTCAGAAGCAGATAGTCAATCTTTTTCACTTCGCTTAAGGTCACTACAACACAAACGGCTTTTCTAATTCCTTGTTCCATAAAGGAACTTCCATCAGAAAAAAAGAGTCTAGTCAGAATTTTGCAATGGGGTCTCCTGTAAATCATCTCTAACTGCAAAGGATTGTACCAGAACCTGTTCATATTCATGATCAAGTTTTCTTTTGGTGTTTTCTGGGAGAAATGTGGCTGAGTTTAACAAAAGTTAGGCTTTTAATTGTATAGTTTTTCCTTCTAACAAAAGTGCCTAGTATTTTAAAAAGAAGCTATCTATAAGCCATAGGCTACCTTTGGCTGACAAAAAGTCCTGCTACATTGTGAGGAGTGTGGACAGTTATATGTTTCCTCATAGTCAGTTTGGTAACCTCAAGAATTAAAAGGGCAACAGCCGCAATAGCACTCAAAGAGGGAGGTCATCCTTTGGCTACCAGATCGATTTATTTTTAGTTTATTTATTATCATAATCTTGTTTATATTACATTGAATAATATAACTTTACAGTGTATTACATTTATTTTTCTAGAAGGAATACCATGTATATCAGTCAACACAAAGACATTAAAATCTCCATCATAATCATCCAATAGCTTTTATTTTTTTTCAGATTACTATTATTATTAGAATTATTTTTTAAACATTTAATCACTATTTATCAATTCCTTTACTTAGAAATCATACTGGTTGTGGAGATGATCCTCTACCTTATGTTAAAACACAGAAAGACACTCCTTTTCTTCCTGCGACATAGAAGTTAAAGGCCTCTTCACTGAGAGATAAAGAGCTGGGTTTGTAAAAAAGACTGTTTTAAAGTAGTATAGGCTTTGTGTGCCTCTGATATGCAATCTAATAGAGATATTTATTTGAGTTTTCTTGGGAAATTGATAAAGAGGACAAAAATGTCACCATATCCTAGAATCCAAAGCCTACAGAAGCCTGTTATTCCCAAGAAACCTTTCAATTACTTAAGGACCCATGGTAAAAGGAAAAGAAGAAATTGGCTCA